ACGTGACTTTATTCTACCTTACCTCCTTCGAGGACCAATCTCTGAAGTCACATTCTGAAATACTGGGGGCTAGAGCTTCAAGATACAAATTTTGAAGGGACACAATTCTGTCCATGACAGTGAGTGAAGCTGTTATTTCCCAGCAGCGGTGGCAGGCACAGGAGCAGACAAGGGGCAGACAGGACATCTTGATGTCCTGAGAGTCACCCACTTAGGTGCCGCAGGAGGCTCTAAGAGGCGCCTGCTGAGTTTGCTGGAATCCAGGTGGTTTCAGCATGAGTTCTGTGAGTCACCGCTTCCCACATCCACTTCCCTGATTCTTCAGATTGTTCTGTAGACCCCTAACCCCCTGTGACAGATTCTTCCCCTCTTAGAACACTGAAAGCCACTTCTGCTTTCTGGAACTGATACTGACCTGATGCAGGTGGGGCAGGATTGAGAGTGTTTGTCCTCTGTTGCCCCAGATGTGGCACCCCTTCCAGGCAGAGAGTCTGAGTACAGTGGGTGGGGTCCCTCCCTTCGGTGCCTGGCCAGCCATCCTGGGGAAGCTGGCTCGTCTTTTTCTAACACAGAGTCAACTTTGGAACTCTGGGTGCTCTTTGGAAAGTTGTCCTTTCCTAGTGCTTTGGTTGTCCCTGTGTGAGAAGCAGGTGAGGGAAAAAGCATTCTCGGGGTTGGCTTGAAACGGTGTAGGAAATCTACTACAGTCAGGCAAATCGGGACCACACCCTGGGGATCAGTCCCTGGGGAATTTCCACACCCTCCCGCTGCCTGTCCCTGCTGGTCCCGGGAGTGTCCACAGAGAACTTATCTCTGCCGGGAGCAGTGGATGACTGCTTTCCAGAGCCCGCAAACGTTGGAGGTTTCTCTTCCTGAATCAATTTCCTTTGGAGACCGCCTAGCTGTCTCCATCGCTGTTTGCTTTGAGCCAGTGAGAGGGTATTTAAAAATAGCCAAGTCTGAAAGCTTCCGTGTGCCTGAGTGGTTCCCATCAGATAGGGTCTCCGGTCGTGCTAGGCCTGTTTGTGCTGGCAGGCCCCCTCTGCCTCACCACTGGCTTCTCCTCCAGCCCACCCACCACACCCTTCTTCCCCAGGCAGCAAGACCACAGGCTTCAGGCTCCGACACAGAGAATCAGGAAGGGGCGATGCTTCTGCCCCTGCTGAGAAGCCCAAGAGGATGTTGTCAACAGAGTTCGAAACCCCCATTTTATTTCATTTTTTTACTTATTGATTTTAGAAAGGGATGGAGAGAGAGAGAGAAGGAGAAACATCTATTTTTGTCGTTCTGCTTATTTTTGCATTTGTTGGTTGCTTCCTGTATGAGCCCTAACCAGAGACGGAACCCACAACCTTAGCGTATCCGGACATCATTCCCACCAACTGAGCTACCCAGCCGGGGCCAAACCCCCATGTCAGATAAGATAGATAAGATCTGCATAGGCTCCAAGGCTGCAGTTTTGACTGACGTCACCAGTCCAGGAGGCATGCACTTAGCTGGGGCCACGGGGCAGCTAATGTAGCGTCAGCTAACAGAGTGTCTCTGAAGAAGCAGCCGCGCCCTCCCGGATCTGTTGCGTTCATTCTCCCCACACTCTGATCACCACCTTCTACACAGTGCCCTTTTCTCCACCAGTACCCTCACCCCAGCAATTCCCCGATGCCTCTGGGACCTCCATCCAGGGATCCCACCACTAGCCCTACTGTCACCCCAGCCCCATGTCCCTATGTCCCCTCTTCCCCCGTTACTTGGTTTGGGTTCCTTGGTCCAACACTATGACTGCTCCTTTGCAGACACTTCAGCCCCTGCCTTCCCCGCCTTCAGCGTACCTGCCTGGAACCTCCCCCCTCTGCTGTCTGCCTGGCCTGTGTCTGCACTGGGACAGCGAGCTAGGGCTGGAGAGGAAAATCGCTCCGCCACATTCACGGGGTGGGCTTCACAGGGGGGACCACAAGCCTCAAGTGGGCAGCCAACACCGGAGGAGGAGGATTCAATTACCTTTTCCTAAGAAATTAGCATATTCATTTTCTGAGATAATTATCACAGACTTCTTTCTCTTCAAACCTCTGACATTCCACCTGCTCCAGTCACTCTCCTAGTTGATGGAGGAAATAAGAAGGATCCTTTTATATCAAACTGATTGGAAACACTGGGCTCTCTTTGCTCCCTCCATTTCTTCCCCTCCCATTTTCTCCTCGATCTACACAACTGGACATCTGTGCTCGCCCCTGTAATAAGTGACTAAATAGCTCCTGTTTGCCTAGAGCGTTGTTTATCTCTGTCTGCTTCTTCCTCGATTTCTCAGCATCATTTGGTATTGATGACTCTCCATGAAACATTATCTTTAAGGCTCCCGGGTGCCCCCTTCATCTGGATTTTCTTCTACTTGGCCAGCTCTTCTTTCTAAGTCTCCTGACTATGACTCCTTCTCTATCAGGTCTCAAGAAAGGCCCTGGGATGCTTTCCTTAGCCCCCTTTTCTTACGTTTACATTCTCTTTACAGAGTTTATCCAGGTATGGTGCTTTTAATAGTATCCAAATACCCAAAGCTGGATTCCCAAATTTATGTCTCCAACATTGGCCTTTCCCTGAAGTCCATGCCTTACATCCAAGCAGCCACTCGCCCCCGACTTGGATGTGTAATCAACATTTAAATATAACACGGCTGAGACAGAACTACTGATGCTGCCCACCTACCCCTGGTCACGGCCCCCTCACACTTTCTCCGTCTCAGTGAACGGCAGCCCCTCTCCATCCAGCTGCTGTTTCCTTCGTATTCCACATCAGGTTCTCAGGGGCTCCTGTGGACTTTCCCTCCAAAACGTGTCCCAAAGTGAATCCCAAATGAGAGCATTTGTCGCCCCGCCCACAGCCGCTGTCTGGGTCCCAGTCACTGCCACATCTACTGTAACTGCTTCCTAATTCTTCTGCACTCCCCTTTGCCCCACTCCCCCTTACTTTCAACATAGATCTTGCTAACATTTAAATCAGATCATGTAGCACTTCCCTGCTCAAAAACCTTGAAAACATTTCTTGTGCAACCCAAATAAAATGCAGGCTCCTCACTGACAACATGAGGCTGACGCGATCCGCAGCTCACCTCCCGCTACGGCTCCGCACTCCAGCTGCCTGGCAGACCACTGGCTCCCCCAACGCTCCCGCCTCCGGCCTCAGAATCTGCTCCCTGTTTTTCTACCCAGAACCCTCTCTTTCCTCACTTTGCACGGTGGCCTTTGCAGCCGAAGTAGCACCTTCTCAGAGAAGCCTGCCCTGACCATGCAGTAAAGCAGCCCCTCCCACCCGATGACGCCGACATTTTATCTTCTCTGTGGCACTTAAAAAATTAATTTACCTGGAGGCCAAACTCAAGGACTTTCCCTTTGAGGTGAAAAAGTGTATGTGTGGTCCCATGGGGGTGGAAAGGCCCAGTGGCTTCTTGAGTGCCCTTCGAACCACACGGCCAGCGGTACCTGCTCCACCCCTCACCCCCTAACCCGTACTGGGCACACTTTTCAGGGAGTGACAGATCTAGTCACTCATGGTCTTGTCGTAGGCAGGTGACATAATCATAAGGGTCTACAGAGAACTTCTTTTCAGCTGTTCTTGTCACAAAGTGGGATTGTAATGTGTGTGGACCTCCAGGATAGGCCTCTCCTGAGACCCCTGGGATGAGAGCAATTCCAGCAGTAGCCCCCCCACCCAGTCTGTCCTTCGGAAGGTTTCTCGAAGGTCTGTGGGCTGCCTGTGTCAGTCTCCAGGGGTGTCTGTTAAAAACAGGTTCCTAGGCCCCATGCCAGAGGTGAACAGCTGCGCCCCTGCGGTGGAGCCCAGGGATTTTCCCGGGAATGTGTGTCGGCAACAGGCGCCCCAGGCGATCCTCATCCATGTTCATTCAGAGGACTGCTACTTCCAGGAGGCTGAGAAAGTCCAAGGCACAAGTGCCCAGAGCATGGCAATGCTGAGCACCACGCTTCCACAACGGAATTGTGCCTGGACATGTAATCCTGTGGTTCCACTGTCCAGGCATTGCCATGAGCCGGACCCAAATGCTCTGGACTCCACCAGCCACCTTCGGGAGGGACCACGGTGGGAGAGCTCGGCGCCGGCCTTGGTGAAGTCCAGGATGATGGCTGCACCTTTTAGTTCCACACCTTGAGCTCACTAGGCTCACACTGGCAAGCCCACGGGCAGCCCCTTGGAGGGAGGCGCCATAGAGGGAGAAGAGTGACTGGGGTGAACCTTTCTCTCCATTCACTGGCTGACTGCTCAAATCTTTCCTTCCTTTCTCTCTCTCTTTCATTCTTTTTTTTTTTTTTTTTAGGTAATTGCTCGGCCCTGTGCTGCAATAGAAACAATTTAAAAGGAAGTAAATTTCTCCTATTGAGATAAGTATCTTCTTTTGAAATACTTTTATTTCACTTTTTCTAACATCAGTATAGAAACCAATAATTGTAAAAAATAAAATTAGCAATTGCCCATCAATTGTGTAATAGCACTTGGTATTGCTAGGAGGAGGAGTCCTGGGGCCGGCTCTCCGGGCCTCTGTGACTACGGTGGGGCCCATAAAGGCATCAGACATCGCTACACACGGAAGTGTCAATGGAGACTTTGAGACTGACACCCAGGGGTCCTTGGGGAGGGCAGGGAGACAGGTAGTGAGTAAATCTGAGGACAGTGTAGTATACACGTGGTAAGCCATAAGGTTGTTCTGGGAGCTGGCATCTCTTGCCCCACACAGAGCAGGGACTTTACAAGCTGAACTGACTTGGGTAATTATTTGTGATGACTTGTGGAGACAAAAGAAGTAACAGACACCGGACAGCGAGTAGGAGAACACACCTGTCTTTCCCCCTCAACCTCTCTTCTCTGATCCCCTCCTCGTTCTCCTTCTTCCTTATCTCAAAATAAAGTTCTCTAAGCAAAATAGCTATTTCACCTATTCGGAAAAAAAAAAAAGTGTGCCTTGAACTCAGTTTACTCTCACAAAACTAAAAAAAAAAAAAAAAAAAAGGCGGGGGGAAAAGTAAGCATTAAGCTAACTGAGCAACTAAATTGCCCAGCTGACTCCAATTCAATTGGGTTGATGAAATTCAACTAAATCATTCAACTGTAGTTGATTCCAACTTTTTTTGTTACTGAGATGACTGATTTCTAGAAAGAAGCAAAATCAGGTTGGCCTTTTTTCCCCCTGAATATGGAATGAGCTTTCCTATGTACGTGTACATGTGTGTGTGTCTGCGGCGGGTGTGGTGAGCGTGCGTAGGCCCCCCTGACACCACATGATCTCGGGGTCTGGAAGAAGGCTGGCAGGAACGCTTGCCTCCGTGAGCCCTGGCAGTGCTTGTACGGATTCCTAAGGTGAGAAATCACCAAGCAGAGAAAATCCCCCATTTCCAGCCCCCGAGGGGGCTGGCCTTCCTCCGAGGTCTCCATAAATGAGTGCTCTGGGGCTCAGCCCTCTGTCACTGCTCAGCGTTGGGCCAAAACAAACTTGGCCTTGTGGTTAAAACTTCTTTGAAGGGAGCATACCCCCTCCAGCTCTTTGAAATCACAAGGAACAGACCAACTTATTTTCTGTCAAACTAGAGACTATTCATTTGCATCTTTCCACTCCCAGGCCATAGGAAAAAAAAACACCTTTTCCCAGTGTGGGTCCTGGGGTGTGTTTGTGTGTGTGTGTTTGTGCGCACGTGCACACACACATGGGCCCCGGGGAGGTTATATGGGAAGACGAAACAGGCACGCCAGGGCAGCAGGACACTTTACCTTGACGATTGATGATTGGTAATGTGTGTTCTGTGGGTCTGCTGTCCAGACATTGCTCCGAGTGAGACCCAAATATTCTGAATTGCAAAATGGGAGGTGCTAGTCAGGACCGAATGAGGTGGAGAGTAGAGGCTGGCAGTTTGTAGAGTTTGGCAAAGCATTTAGGACCATCTTTGGAGTTCAAGTTCATTGATATGGGATCTGTCCGGGCATTATCAATAATGATTTAACACATCAATATTCTATGGCCACTAAGGAGCTGTGTAGCTGGAGGGAAGTCATTCTCTTTTTCCTTGGCCTCACTGTACTTCTTTGTGAAGGAGAGGCCTCGACCAACTGAATGACACCAAAGGTCAGAGACTCCCAGCTGGCGGGAACACGGACTCGTGGCCCTCTCCCAGGCTAACTTCCCTAACCCGATCAGGCCGCAGTCCTCACCTTCTTGATCCTCATGCTTGGCATTAGGAAGAACCTTTTAAAATAAAATCCTGAACCTCTATACTTTACCTACCCATCTGGCTTTGCCATTAGGACAAAAATCAAACAGTTATCAACAGGTTAGTGACAGATTAGTAACAGTCTGATTCAGTTAAAATTAGTCATTTAAACTAGGCACAGAATCTCGGAAGAGCTCAGGGCAAGCGTCTGGGCTCCCTCGAGTTTTTCTGGGGAGGGCAATAAGGTGACGTAGGTGGCATTGTCAGAATCCACCGGGAGGCCTTGGCTGGCCCCGGGGAGAATTCAGTTACGGGAAACTCACTGACAGAGCTGCCTGGTCAGGCACCAGTGGTCTCCTAGGCACTCCCCCAGGGAGGTGGGGCGATGGCAAAGGGACTGACTCTTTGGAGGTTGGGACTGGTGCTTGTGGCCAGGCAGGCAACAGGGGCTTCTGTGCTTGCTCCGCCGAAATGACTCTGGCACAACATGGATACAACTTACATTGCATCCTTTTGGTTTTCATCCTCTGGTGGGTCCCTGTCAAGGTTGTTGAGTCACCTATTTAAGGGAGAATTCGAGCCGGTACTTAAAGGACAGCCACAGCGAGGTGGGCACATCTGACACATCTAGTCACCTCTCCCTGGTGGCTCAGGGCCTGTGGGGAAGCCTTTGGCAAGAATCACGGCTTTGGGGCCCCCCATTTGGGATCCCAGGTCTCATAGCACCAGTGATTCCATGAAACAAGAATATGGGTCACTGAGGGGAGGACTGAGATGTGACATGCTGGCAACCCAGGTCTCATTGGACATCTGGGTGGAGTGGCCCTTCTGCAAGACTCTTTGGGTATTAGGTGAGAACTGGTCATGGGGATGTTGGGCTCTGAAACTGGGGCGATCACCTGCTGACAGATCCTGGGGGTCCAGGGTTCACCGGTCTCAGGGAAGTCCTGCCTGTGGGGTAACTCGGCCTCAACCCCCTTCTCATCCCTCCTCCCTGCCTCCAAAACCCCCAGTTCTGGCTCCTCTGTCCAGTTCCGGGGCTTCTCAGCAGAGGGAGAACCTCCGGGAGTTGATGTTCATCTTGGTGACTCCGATGAGTTTGAGTGGCGTCGAGAGACTGAAGGACGAGGCCAGCGGGGAGTCGCAGAAGAGGTCTGACAGCTCGTCGCGCTCCTCCAGCTCATAGGTGGCATCATTGAGCATCCTCCTGTGGAGGTCGCAGGTCTGCTCGATCTTCAGCTTGTTGATGTCACTGCGCAGACGCATGAGCTGTCTGGCTAGCTGCTGGTCCTGTAGCCGCATCTCCATCTGGAAGGGAGGAGGGGACATCAGCAATAAGCCAGGGCACTGGCTGCTAATAGGAGACCTAAGTCACGGTATACATCATCAGTTGGTCCACTTGGAGATATGAGCACGTTCCCAGTTCAGAGAAGTGAGAGGGCACACATAGTGAGCTGACGAATGAGGACATGCTTGCTAAACAGTACTTAGTGCTAAGTTAGAGGCTATGTCTGAATCCTTCCAGAAGAAGTGCATGTCAGTCCTGGCTTAATGGTATTTCCAGCCCATTCTTATTGCTTACAGATATGTACAGATGCAGTTGGAGTATAAAGAAATGCATGGGAATGACAAATAGCAAGTTCAGGAGCACGGTTACCTCTGGGCAGGAAGGAGAGAATGTGATTAGAGAAGGTACACCAGGGCTTCAACATGTGTTGGTAGTGTTTCACACCTCATGTCGGGTGGTGGGTGTGCTGTTATATTATTCTTGAGACATTTTAGAATGTCTGCAATATTTCTTAGTAAAGTTTCCAAAGAGTGAAACATAAATATACACTAAATTTATACTCAGTTCTGTGCTTAGGGACCTAGGTGGAGGTTCGTAATATTTCTAGTGCATCAGCGTTTTCTGTTAGGGAGGATGTGATAATAACTTCTCACCTGGCCTAGCAGGTGCCGTTTCTGTAACTTGTCTGCGTGCTAACCTTGTTGGAACTGTGCAGCCAGTCCTGAGGCACCAGCAGGATGGCTGAAGTGTTTTGCAAGTTCCGGGGAGTTTCAGTGACTTGCTCAGTTCCACACTGTGCGGCGGCAGAGGTGGGGCTGGAGCTCACGGGCCATCCAGGCTCCTAGTGCAGAGCGTTCCCCATTAGCGACCCTCTGTCACTAAGGTCACAGCTGCTCCTGCTTGACACAGGATCTGACTCCTTCTCACCCTTTGCTCTGCCTGTGTTTGCAAGTGGTTATTGCTTTAGTGTTTCTGTGCCTTTTTTGCATCTCAGCTGTGTCATTCACCTGCTGCTTGGAGTCAAACCAATGGAGAAAATCAACCGTGAGGCCCAGAGGGGCCTTCCCTGTGGTTACGTAAATAAATCCAAATGCTCTCACTTTTCCCACACTTTTGAGATTTGAAATCAAGTGCATTGCAGTGTAGAAAAATAAACGACTTCACCAGTGAGCATTTCATTTTTTCCCCTCTTTCACTTTCATGTACTTTTATAGATCTCTTCCAATGATAGATGAGAAAAATCAAGGCAGAAAGTTTTATCTGGTGATAGCAAAGTATTTAATGGAAGAGTTGGGATTAGAGTTTATAGCCTCCACTTCAATCTTCAGACATGACAACCTAAGTTTATTGACAGCAGGAATCTGTGCTCTAGATGAGCACCAAACTGATGATGGCAGGCTTGCCACCAGGCCGCTGGCCATTCATCCGTTTGTCTGGGGGCCCTCTCCCTGCCTGGAACTGCACTGGGTGCCGCCTAAACCCTCTGACGGAGAGAAACAAGTTTGTGTGAAAGACGGGGCCAGCTCACACACATTGTTTTATTTGGTAAGGTCTTCTGGGGGCTTTACTCAAATCACTCCTCTTTGGCAGTGTTTAATTTAAAGATAGATCTCCTTGAAAAGCTAGGAACTCTATGATTTATATTTGAACTTTGGCCTCAGGAATTGGATCTTTGGTCTGAAAAGATCCTTTAGAGTGGGTGACTTTCAAGTTGAGCATGTGTCTGGGGATATCTGCGAGATGCAGCCTGCCAGTGGGTGCTTGTTGGGGAGAAGGGGCCATTTTTCTATGGCCGATAGATCTGGTCAAAGGTCAGAGGACAATGCAGGGTTTAAAACCCATCAGAGTCAACTGAGCAGAGAGGTGATAGTAAGACATGTGCCCAGCTTCCTTTGACTGGACAAGGGCCACCTGGGTGGAGCCACCTCACGTACTCATGCAGCTTGGATGCACTTGTCTCTGCACCAGAGGAAGGATAGAAAGAAAACCACACTTGCAACAAACAGGGCTGGAGACTGGCCACTCTGCTCTCCTCTGCTCCAGCATGAGAAGGGGCCTGATTCTGAAGGCTCCTCCAGGTAAGTGTCCCAGCCGAGGAGTCTCTTAGAATGTATATTCTGTTATGACCCCTGAACATAAATCAACTATTTCATTTGATGCTCAAAGAAAGTGTTTTTTCTAACACTGCAAGAAAAAATAGCAATGTTAGCCCTGTCCTCATCCACTCAGCAGACACATGGGGGTTTTCCAAGGGTGACTTTACACCTTAAACACTTACTGAGTCTCCACTTAAGAGGTAACCCGACTATAAGCATGCAGAATAAAGTTCCTACCACCTCCCAAGAAGCCTAAGCAAAAGACAAAAGGCTAGGAGGCCTTTCTATTTTCCTGGGAACTTTTTCAACTGTGGTTAAATACATATAACATAAAACTTGCCATCTTAGCCATTTTCAAGTGTACGGTTCAGGGGCATTGATTGCACTTACATTGTTATGTGACTGTCGCCGTCATCCAGCTCCAAAACACTTTTCATCTTGTAAAACTGACACCCCGTCCCCATTAACCAACCGCCTCGCGTTCCCCCTCCTTCCAGCCCCTGCTCCAGGTAAGTCTGTATGAATTTGACTGCTTTAGGGATCTCATGTGAGTCAAATCTATTGTATTGGTCCTAAGTGGTTAATTCCATTTAGTACTGTGTCCTCACGGCTCATGCAACTGAGAGGCTTTTTATAAAGTAAGCGTGTTCAGGAAGTTATAGTTGAATGCATGTCTTTGCCGACCCTGTGCAGAGGACAGGGGTTTCCGACGGTGGTCATGGAGAGCCAAGTCTGGGGGTGGACCACTCCTGCCTTTTCCTCTCCTTTCCGCATGGAGACACTTGGACAGTGCTGCCTTCTGCCAAATCATGTCACAGGCAGTTTCCATACTTTATTTATGGCGTCTTCCCACAGCTGTGGAGGAGAGGTTGTTTTGATCTGCTTCGTGGTTGGAGAGGCCAACTCGGAGAAGTTAAGGAGCTGTGCACAGTGGCACTAAGGTCACAAGGGGGCCATCAGAGCCCAGAGCTGTGGGCTGTCCATGACTTCTGTCCACCTGGAGCGGGCTGAGTCCCAGAGGCAGCAGACATGGGAAATCCATTGCTCTGGGGTTAGAATCTAGGTTCGGGCTAAACCTTACTCCTCAGCAACCATGTACCTTTGGGCAAGTTGCTAACGTTCCTTGAATTTCTGTCTCTACATCTACAGAAAAGGCATAATGCTTATTCCAAGAACTTTGAGAGAAGCAAAACTAGGTGGTAAGTAACATGCCAAGTAAGCTGAACACCAGTCAGATAAAGGTAAGTGGTTCACAGCTTAAGTCTTTTCTTCCCAGACCAAGGTGCAGGATATGGCAACCAGCCAGGGCCTCCCAGTTTTAAGACTTTATTTTTAAAAACCTGAGAAGCCAGCCCCAGTGACTCAACTCTCAGCGTGGATTCAGCGCGTTCCCTGGCAGAGGTTCAACAGCAGGACGTGCCGACTTCTAATCCCCTCCCCGGGATAAGGGTGCTGGTTGGATTCTCAGAGGTGCAGCCCGTAGGTAATGCCAGCAGTCCTGTAATTAGGGTATCGAGCTTGGTGAGAGGGGAGGCAATGTCAGTGTATCACTGACAGCACACAGGGCTGGCTCCCCTCAGCGGAGAAAGCACGTGAAGGGGTGGGGGGGTGGGGGGCAGGGGCGGCACAGAGGACCAGTGGCCTCTTGCGATAACTGTGTTTTGGTGGTCTCTGCTGGGCTGTAGCCAACTCAGGTTTGTGTCCTTCTCAGGCTGCTTCTTCAGATATAAGGTGAATCCCCCAGGGCAGGATTAAGTAGTTAAAGGCAGTAATTACACTGTTCTGCAACAGGATACATCCTTGGCTTGGCTTGGTGGCTGAGGGGGATGGTGGTGAGAGGCTGGGGAGAGAGGAGACACCCAGGAGGGGGCCCAGCAAGGAAATTCAGAGGATAGGCTGATCCAGTCTGAGTGTGTAAGGGGTTTGCTGTGAGGTCTCTTTAGTCCAGTCTCGTGGGTCACTAGTGATTTCCTGGGGCGTTAGGAGAGGGGCTCTTCTGCCTCTGAGCAGGGTGAAATAAAGACAAAGCCTGCAGTAAAATGATGTGGATTACATATGGTGGTTCCTCAATAAATTAAACATAGAATTACCAGAGGATCCAGCAACTCCACTTCCGGGTATGCACCCAAAAGAACTGAAAGCAGGGACTCGGGCAGGTACTTGCACACCCTTGTTCACAGCAGCACTACTCACAGCTGCTGCTAAAAGGTGGAAGCAACCCAAGTGTTCACTGATGGATGACTGGATACACAATATGTGGTATGTCCATATAAATAAATATTATTCAGCCATAAAAAGAAAGAAAATTCTGACACATGCTACAACATGGATGAACCTTGAGGACAATATATAAATTTAAAAATTCAGACTTCCGGCCAAGATGGAGGTGTAGGTGGAAACACTGTGCCTCCTCACACAACCAAGTTTAAAGACAAGAAAGTTTTAGTAACAAAAACACAACCAAAACAGAGAAATTGAACTGTACGGAAATCTGACAACAATGAACCATTCAGCCAAACCGGTAAGAGGAGCAGGGCTGGTGGCTGGCGGAGCGGGGTTCCGCAGGAAAAAACGGCCTGACCGACCCAGGAGTGCAGGCAGCGGTTGGCAGATCCCAGGTGTGGGGTGGCAACAGGTGGACCCAGTGGGGGTGCAAGGAGGCTGGCTGACCACGGTCACACATTCACACTCAGATAAACCAGGCAAAGAAGTGAGCAGTGAGACAGACCACTCAGGCTAGGGCCCCAGTGATGGGAATTAAAGCCTAAAAGCACCAATTGGAAAAACTTTCAGGGTTGAGGTGCCAGGAGAAGCTCCCAGGCTCACAGAAGAGTTTGTTGGAGAGACCCACAGGGTCCTGGAGGGTGCACAGGCCCACACACTCGGGAGCCAGAACCAGGGGGGCTTGGTTTGCTTGCAAGAAG